GCATAGTGAACGCCCAGCAGTTTGAACAGGCCAGTCACGGCGAAGTTTGTGCTCTCAGCGCCCGACTCGCCAGCCATCGCCGTGCAATCGTCGAAGAAAGATGTGATAGGCACTCGCAAGCCGTCCCGGGCGATAAGGATGATGCTCCTCGTGCCCGGGTCTTCACCCATGGCTTGCGCCGCCATGGCCAGCACCGAGTCAACAGGTTCCACTTCAAGACGTTCCGGCAGCCCGCAAGTGCAACTCGATCCCCCCAAGAAAAATTCATCTATCATCCGAACCTTGTTGCGCTGCACCACAGCGAAGCGGTATGCGAGGATCTAGTTTTCAACGCTGTTGTCATCGACCAGAGCAAGCCAACCGCAAGCGACTTCCTCTTGCATCTGCCGCCAAATCTCGTGTTCCAGAGTCAGCTCTTTTTCTGTCAGGACCTTTGCAATCACAGCATTGTTGAGTCCTTTGGCCACCTTCTCGACTTCGCTTGTGTCGACACCCCAGCTGTCCGTGGCTAGCGTTCTCAACTCCCAGGTTGGTCTGAAGCAAAAAGCTCTGGGATGACCTCTGGCAACGGCCTCCCTAACAAAGTCCTCAGGCTCTCTTGGGATTCCGATCTCCGAAATTCAGCGGGCCCAGCTCCAGCCAGCGTCTCCACGTCTGGGCTGAGCTTGGCGAAAACCCATCTTTCAGCGCCGAATAAGCGGGAGAACTCGTCCCGGATCTGTTCTCGTCCCGGATCTCCCCCAGAAATTCAGCGGGCCCAGCTCCCGCCAGCGTCTCCACGTCTGGGCTGAGCTTGGCGAAAGCCCATCTTTGAGCACCGAACAAGCGGGAGAACTGAACTCGCCCCGGATCTCCCCCAAGCACAAATGGCGAGAGAGAATAGTGCTGCCGTTGGGCAGCTGTTTCAAACTGGCGTCAGCTCGGTCTGTGTTGTTTGGCAGGCACGGTCCAAACCTGTGCGCAGACATACGTAGAGACAAGAGGCAACCACTTGTGGCCCCTGGGTTGTCCAGCATGTAGAGGTTGGCAGTGCGGCGTTTCCTCCAAGTCTGCTTGTTGTTGCAAGTCAGTGGGGAGCTTGAAGGGTAACTGCACTGCTCTGTATTGTAATGCTGATGCCAGACGTGTGCAAAGAACAGTGGAATAAGCGGCTTGCTGTTCATGGGTCTTGTCGATAGCCAAGGCTTGCATTCCGTGTTGTCGCACCTCTCGGCTAAACCGAGCTGTACCAGCTAAACACGACCCCAGGCCCGAACGTTCTACCCGTGCCTTCCGCATCCACACACGGGCCTGGCGCCGAGTTCCACCCCGCGCACACGAGGATGTAAAGCTCCGCAGACGCGGGCTTGCAGTCTCGGGCCACTCGCTCCATCAGTTGAAAATCTCCTTTTTGCGCTCCATGGATCCCCAGAAGTGCAAGCCACTGCCGATGCCGAGCGGGGTGAACAAAGGCATGCCGTCCTTCTCAAACCAGGCTTTCTCCATGGACCTGATGGTGGAGCTGGACTCTTTCACTCGCCAGGCGCATCGCGCCTGATGTAAAGGGGTAAACTTGCCCTCTTGGTCGACACGCACAGCGTCACGCGCAGGACCACGCTCAGCCCAACGCGCTTGCGCAAGAGCTGATCACGGCATTTCATCTCGTAGTACGAGTCGGCGATGCCAGCCCAGGTGCAGAGAAGCTTCTTCAAGATAGACATATGCCTGTGGCCTTTGGAGGCATGAATTAAACTCGCGCCAAGGCCGAGAATCACCACATGCTTTCTTTCGCTGGACGACATCTTCACCACATTGGAGCCGTACTCAGCATATCCGTTGCCGGTGCTGTCGGACAGCGCGAGCACATACTTGGCTGCAAATGCTTCCATGCTTTGAGCCACAAAAATTCTAGCCACGAACGAACAAAAGAATTTTCCATGCGCCATGTCACTCTCAATAGGCCTGCCCCTGATTCGCATTCGCATGACGCAAGGCCCTCTCACTCTTTTCCACGCTTCAAACTCTGCACGCTTCGTACTCCGCTAAATCAGGAAGCCATCACTGCCAATTACTGGGGTCTGGCCTGTGTCCAACGAAAGGCTCCAGCAACTCACGCTGTCCTGTCGACACGCGCACCATGTCGGCCAGCTGGGCAGCTTTGCCGTGCGTCGCGCCTCGCACCTGGCTCAAAATAACCAGCCGCTCGGCCATCTGTAGTCCAGAGTATGTCAGGCTTGCGCATTGCGTCCACTTCACATACACGCTAATCGATGGGTCTTCCAAAATGTGTCTGCGTGCCTCGCACATGCCCAGTCGTCGAAACTCCGTCTCATCCTGGGGCCCTCTGTAGAGGCCATGCATCTTGCCACAGCTCAGGCAGCTGCTAAGCTGCGTGAGCCGCTCGGGCGACAAGCCCAGTCGCTCGCGCACCTTGCTGCAATACTCAGACACTATACGAGGCGATATCTCCACGAAGATATACTGTGTTGGGTCGTCCATTTTCGGCCTTTTGCTACGGCGCCCCATCCCGCGGAGTGGCGTCGCACGCCTTGCTACGACACAACAATGCTGCAGGCAAGTCACACATACACATACAAGCAGAAAAGCAACGCCACACTATTCGCGGGTCTGAATCATGTTGATTCATGGTTGCACTGCTTCAATGTAATGCTTCGCTACTTGGCTCATTACTGTTTTCTGCTCTTTGTTGCCTGAATTGTGGGACCTGCAATGACTTCTGCGCGGTTTGAGCCTGTGCTAAGTTTAGTGAATCTACAGCAGAAACATGAATATCTATTATCTGTCGAGCTGTCGCGCATAAGCGGTATCTACAAGCTGCGATCACGAAGCCTCTCCCCCACGCAAACTCGATGCGCAGACAGCTGCTGCCTTTGGCGAGTCTGTTTTTCTTGCTACACATCTGCAGGCTCTTGACGAGCTTGCTCCCCCAAGCTCCATAATTGCGGGCACTTCGTTTTGAAGGTCCGCTTACCCCTAAAACATCCTACACCGACGGAGAACCAGAAGCATATTCCGCCTCCATGTCCCGGCAGTCGTCCAGCTGGGCGTCGACCTCGGCCTCGGCTTCTTCCTGCTCAAGCTGCAGGCTGCGGTGCAAGTCCTCAACGATGGCCTGCTCGTCGGGGACGGCCGGCAGGGGGGTGATCTCCTCTCTGCGCGGGCTGCTGCTGTCGCCGTATTGGATGAAGCGCACACAATCTTCAACTTGCCACGCCTTAGAACATTGCTCTTCAAGAGCTCAATCCACCCCAAAGTGCTCCTTCTCTTAGCCTCCGGCGAGGGAAATGCAAGTAGTCCTACCACACCCACTGAGATCAGCCGAAAAGTGTTTTGGACTCCTCCCATCCCCGGCGTTGGTGAGGATTTTGTTGAGCAGTTGATCGAGGCGGGTGTGTGCTTGGACAAGGACAGCGTTGACTTCTTCAATTCTGCGGAGGTCACAGATCTATCTTTATCGCGGGCGATGGCATGGGTCAAAGAAAAACAACACGGAGCACTGTGGAAGGGGTGGAAGTATAATAAGACCGTGACCACAGTTCGCGACAGCATCGATGCAACCGACTGGTGGGCACGGGGCTCCATTTTGGAAGGACTTGCTGCATCTCGAGGTGTGAAAGTCAATGGACAGTTTGGCAACCTTGACATGGTACCGATGGAATTTGTCAACATTCTCTGCGAGGGTCCAGGCCAGCTTCCTGAGGAGTTGCGCCGTGACTTGACTGTCTGTGGCTTCGTAATCCCGGTGCCTATTGAGCATGATGGCGAGTTCCGGCGAGTAGACTGGACGAGAGACGATGTCGTATATATGGTTGCAAACCCAATTCTGGCATCATGCTATCGGAACCGGTTTGAAAGTGAGAATTGATCCCTTTCTCCCTGTGAACTGCATGGACTTGCTACTGCGCGCGATTCCGTATGTTACCTTTGCCCAGGTTGTGGGGTTTTCACCAAAGGCAGCAGCAGATTCCTCACTGTCAAAGGATGACTTGCCTTTTGAAGACCAATACAACGCTGCCATCATCGAAGTCTTGCAAAGGCTCGGATACGCAGCTGATTCGTCCCACAACAAGAAAGTGGGCAAGGTGGACATCTTTGTGAACATTGACAACAGGACCTTTAGCGTGGAATGTAACATGGCAAAGCCTGGCCCGACAGACCACGAAGATCACCGGGGACGCTTTGACACTGCGCTGTGTGCGTACAGCAACGCCGACCACAAGGCACTAGTCACGATTGGAAGCAGCAAATCTCGGGTGCGAGAGCGCGTTTTGAAAACGAAAGCAGATGGTGTCGAGATCATCGGCTTGGTGCCCAATATCGCGCACACTGGCTACAACATCCTTTACCGAGGTTTGGGTGCCAAACAACTGTCCTACTCGGCTTTTGTTTGAATTTGAACTTTCCATTGCCAGCCCCAAAGCTTTTTGTCATCTTGAAGACTCTCAAAGATTGGAGTGTGGTAAAGAACTGAATCATCCGTCTCCAGTTGTTGCAACATAGGTCCTTGATTCTCGCTCATGCCACCCTGCCATCGTTCATGCATCTTTTTGCGTTTGTAACTGCTCCTGCTCCTGCTACTTCATTCGAACCTGACACTGTGCTGTTCGATGATTTTCATTACACTGTGCTGTTCATCACCTCTTTGTGTGTTGCTGCAATTGGTTGTCTGTTGGTCTTCGGCTTGCATGTGACCTTCAGCGTCCCAAAAAAGATACCAAAAGAGGGCTTCAGCACAAGACGAGGCACATTTCCCACAAATCGGTGACAGATTTCCCCAAACTCGGCGGCAGATTTCTCGAGAATCGCCGGGCAGATGTTTGCACGTATGAACCAGTCACTGTGTGCTTAGTGTTGCAGCCGTGCTTCTCAGAGCAGGTTTTCAAATCCAACTTGACTTGCATGCCAGCAACGCAAGCATCACTTTGAGTCATTTTGCTATATTATATGCTTCAGGTTTTGTGTCATGCATGCACCAGAACATTTCAGCTTGCAGTCTCTCCATGGCCAAGCGCGGCTCCAAGCTCCTTGCATTGGCTTTGCCCATTCTGGTTGGCAGGTCTTTTCTTGCTGTGGATGAGATACCGCGAACGACCCCAAGCGGACACAAGCATCCAAGCAAAACCACAAGGGCTTCAATCAACCTTCAGAAGTCGGCAGAATATCTCGAACCACTCGCCACCGTGTTTGGGACATCACTGAAGGAAATTGGGCAGGGAGTTCTGGAGGCAAACAATAATTTTCGCTCGATTTCAATCCAGACATCTTTGGCGCAGCTCAACAATGCCCAAGCACGCGCATAATGCCTTGCAAACATCCTCGTGGAGAACGCCAAACAAAGACGGGAAGCTCGGAACATCTTTGTGCCGAACGTCTCATTGCCACTCATCCCCGTGAATGGCACGCAGTTTCAGCAATTGATGAGCAATGTGCTATCGGACACGGCCTTGACCGGAGTCACTGTGGTTCATGCTGAACTTGGCGTGGGCAAGTCCGTTGCTGTGGCTTTGGCCATGCTTGGATGGGCCAAAGACAACCCACAGTGCATCACTGTTTTGGTCAGGCAGGATTTGGCGCGTCTCAAGGATTTCTTCAATGTAGCAGACATAAGCTTTGTGCCACGTGTTGCAGAACTCATTTTTTCAATCTTGTTTGACGCTGGAGTTCGCTTGCAGCTGATTTGGACAACATCTTTGATGACGAACTGGGTGGAGATGGGAAGATGTTGATCAACCTCGCCCGTGCAGCGCACAGATACGGGCAGGTCATCGTAGTTACGCAATCTGAAAGAATTTCGAATAAAGTAGCCTGTCTCAATGGAGCGCGAACACGACTAGCCCCGCAGCAGGAGAATGTGAGCCAGTACAGATGGAATGAGGTGCAGGCACGCCAACTCCTGGTGTATTTGAATGCAACAGAGAAGGTTAAGAATTCCAGCAAGTCCCGCAAAGCGAGGTGGTGGAGATGGTCGCGCGCAGTGCTGCAAACACGGGTAGAGACCCAGCTTGAGAAAGCAGTACAGAAAACCAAAGCCGAGTTCAGAGAGGATGAGCTCCTGATCTCGAAGGCTTTGGAAAGTGCAAGTCTGCCTGATGGCGGCTGGAAACCAACGGACATCATAGAGTTCCTGCTTTCAGACAAGAAGCCGGTTGCAGCCATTGCAGGCACGGGACTGTACGGAAAGGGCTGGCTTGGACATCACATTGAGCGTGAGAAAGCATTCTGCTTGCAGACAAACAAGGACGCAAACTGTCCTTCATACTGATGCAACCAAGCAACGTGGGCTTTAAAAGTATTGTTCTCGTTTGAGCAACCAATCATAGCTTTCAGCCCATCTCGCAGTCGCCTTTTCAATCTTTGGACGACGTTTCATAGCAGGCTGGGCAGCATCGACTTTATCAGTTTGATTTGAATTTGGTTCTCTGCAAACGCGCTTTCCTTATTTTGGCTGAGTTTCATTTCTGAACTTGTTTCTGGGAATTCTGGTTGTAAGAATGACATTGCGCACCTGCAAGGCTGGCCCTTGGCAACCTGAGCCTTCATGTCCATGTTCAACTTCGCTGCCAAAGACAAGTGCATGTTGGATTTGTTACATTGGGTTTGTTGCATTGGGTTTGCATGTTGGTCCACTCCTGGCAAGTGTGAGCAGAGTTGGCAAAGTTGCTCTCAGGCCTGAGTCTGTTCAACGAAGACTTGAAGAGGACACTCACATTTTCTGAGCCCTTCACCCTTCAAGGCGCTGCTTCAGCACCTCAAGCTGTTTGGGTCCGTCAGCTCCAGCCAAGCAAGGACTGCCAGTTCTTTGACGTATGCAGTGCATTCATGTCCATGTTGAAGGCGATTCATTCTCAAAGACAAGCGGATGATGTTGTTCGGATCTTGTTTGAACACTTGCCGAACCTCCACATGAAGTGAATTCCAGTGCTTGTGAAGTTCGAGGACGGCGAAAAGTTTGAATTGACGGGCAATCCGTTCAATATTACTACAAGTGTCAGACATGTCCCTGCCTCAGCTGCTTCACTTAGCGGGGGATCACCTCAGCTTCGCGTTGCCTTCGGACGCTTCGCCAGAATGTCAGGTGGATGACCTCAAGAAAGCCCTGCGCTTAGAGCTTGTGAGCCTCGCTAGCCTTGAGCTTTCCATTGTGAGCTGTTTTGCAGAAGGGCGATGACAAAGATTGAGTGTCCATTTTTGCACCTCTTGCAACCCATGAAATCAGGCAATCAAAGCGGAAGGGCAGGTCCGTTATTGTTTGGGACTCGCACTCTGAAGGCTTCAGGGCACCTCAGCTTTGTTTTGCCTTCTGGTATGTTGCTTAAGCTTCACGAGAATGTCAGGTGGATGATCTCAGAAGCGGGTCGCAGCAGTTCTTTGTTTGTTTTGGTTTGAGACTGTTGTCATATTCGATTACTTGAGGCAATTACGCAACAGAAGCCGAATACTATGTCCTGCGACGCAGATGAAATCGACATCTACAGCCAGAAGGAGAGCTTTGCGTGTCGAAAAGCACACCCATTTCATCTCACACTCACCTCACCCCTTGCCGTGTCTCCGCTTGACTCTGCAGGAAGGGGGCTGGGTCAGACAAGATGAAGAAGCAGCAGTCAACCGCGGCAAATCCAAGCCGAGCACTCGGATCCGATGCCTTTCAACTTCGGGTTTTGCTGTCGCCCAGCTCTCAGGGCAGATTGCTACGGATTTGTGCCACCAGCTTGAGATGCATCAGACTGGGTGCCTTTCTTAGCACAGCATGTTTGACACTTGTGAACTTGCACCATTGCTCGTCCTAAGATGGCTTGTGTCACTTGCTCTTCTCGGCTGAGGCAATGCTGGTGCACAACGTGTCACCTCGTACCGGAAAATAAAGGTACAGCTGCGGCACAGTTGTTTCGTTGCAGTGTGACTTTGCTTGACTTAAAGAGTTAGGGAGGTGAATGCTCACACTTTTGAGCATCAGGCTGCGGTCTTCAAGTCAAGCAGAGAATGCCTGCGACGGGCACAGGACCAGCAACAGTGCCGGCGCTGGTCAAAACCGGAGAGCTTGCAGCGCTGCGGCAAACGTGTGATTTTGTGTGTGCGTGTGCGTGTGCAAGTTCGCGTTGTGACGGTTGGTGAATTTGCACGCCGCGCATGCATAGTTTGAGACACCTGGCCGGCCCGCCAACAGGACGGCTTGCCATGGTGGACACATCGGCAGAACCGGCAGAACCGGCCCGCGGAGTATGGAAAAGGGGGCGCCCGCTGCTTTGGGAGTCGGAGATCGACAACCAAACTGTAGGGCAATTATGCTTGAAATAAATGCGGGTCGTTTTGGAGTTGACGGAGCAAACCGGGGCTTGTCTGTTTTTAACAGGGCGTGTATTTTGGCATGAGGCGCATCGCCGACTTACTGATTAGGAAGGAAAGTTGGCCGTGGCGCCAACATCCTGGGTTTAATTTTAGTTTGTTTGAATACCTTCCCAAAAGGTTGAGCCGCGCACATTGTTTTTAATTTTCGCAAAGCCAAAAGTGTGAACAGAGTGTCGGACAGTGTTTGAACCATGGCGCTTGCTCATCAATATCCCGTTAGCATAGGTACAACTGTGCTTTCATGCAGCATGTCTGCGCGTAGAGCCCGTGGGTCTTAAGGCATCCCCAATTTAAAAGAGATGGTTAACATTTCAATCACACATGTCGCACTTGCTAAACCCGCACGCACATGATTTGATCGACTGTTTGACAACAATCAAGTCAGCGCGTTTCCCGCTAACGGTGAGCATGCAACTCATGTTGGCGACTGTTGTCATAGTTGAATATTGTATTGTTGTGCATGTTGCGTGTTGCAGCGCCTTGGAGAAGCCCTGGCAATGTGAGGATGTTGTTTGCGTGACAAGGATGTTCGCCAAAGAACTAGCAGGGCGTCCTTGACCTATTTGCACGGGCGTGCAGTTCATTGTGTGATGGGCGAGCCAAGGCCTGAGGTACAGGAAGCGCACAATGTTTGAACTTCATTCGTCGGCGTGTTTTGAACATCTCACGCACAAGGGAGTCAGATTCCGATGATGAAGAGGCGCTGGCAGATGAAATCGGGTTTGTTTCATTCCGCCTGGGTGTTGATTGCAGGTGGAGTCGTGCTGGAATGCACTTTGCTCTGGCTTCAAGTTATGCTCGTTCTGTCCTTGGACTGATGCAAGTAATGAGCGCCATGCTGATGAAAGAAAGTGGCAGCTGGTCGGTCGCAGATCCGTTCTTTAAACATGCCGGCGTTGTCATGGACGCACATTCTACATCAGCTCACGTTTTACATGCCGCCCAACTCGACCAAGGGGGAACTGCGAGCTCGGCAAGGTCGTGTACTCGGAGTTTCAGAGCAGTCATATGTTCTTCGCGATGGCCTTCATTTGCCATGATGTATATTTTTCTGAACCAATGTGTGGATGTGTCACTTCATATTGTATTGCCATTGCAACACAGGATGTTTCACTCGAACAGGACGTTTCACTCGACACATACTCAATGGATGTCCAGCTGTTTTGCAGGTTCTGTGGACCATGTCTGCCGAGCTTGCAAACAGCAACGCCTGCGAGGTGCTTCTTGCATCTGGCTTGCAAATGGCTTCTGTGGCGCTGCCTGAAACCTTTGTGCGGAGCTCGGACTTGGACTTTAGTTTTTGCAGCTTTTCGCATGTGCCTTTGAGAAAGCTGGCATGGTGCGTCTCAGTCAGTGTTTGGGGAACAGTCATGTTGGATTGATCCTGTTGGCAAAAATGCAGCTTTGGGGAAGTGGAAACTTTCACTGGCTTCCCGTGCTGCAGAGGTCTTTGCGTTGCTTAGAGCGCGGATTTGGGGCACCGGTGCTTAGAAGAATCTGCTTGGAAGTTTGAAATGGGGGTTGGCTTGATCCAAGGAAATAACATGTCGAGCTACATGGCCTATGCAGCAATCGGCATCAACTCAGCCTTGGCCCTGAATCGGGCAGTGAAATGATCCTGACTTGCAGACCGTTGATATCTTCTTTTCGAGCATGATCAGCTTGCGCCCAACATGTGTGTGGGTTTGCATGAATCGTGTGCCCCTCAGCAGAGTCTTGTATACTGGAGTGGAGGTGTTCCATGTTGCAGATCAGGTTGCCGTAATCTTTGGCGGACCTTTTGGCCGCTTCAGCGCTGTCTTCAGTATGGATGCGATTGTGTTTGCTGACTTTGGGGACCTGAGCCTCAGGTGACTGCGTGGATCGTCGCTTGGCTGCTGCGGTTTTTGCCATAGGCACCTTTGCCCCAACATGGTCGGGAGCTTAGCCTGCGACTCTGGTCGGACTGGCGGACGTGTCGCCCATTTTCCCACAGGTCGCTGTTGATATTTGGGCACACGACTGCGAAGGAGGGGCTTCTTGTGTTGTGGCACTCATGTCTTCTCACACATCCAAATCTGCTTTGAACATGCGAGGCACTTTGGATAAGTACCGTCATCAAGGTAGTGGGCTCCTATGGTTTGACGAGCGGATCCCTTAGCTATCGCTCGCAGATTCTCACGTTTCAACATCATTTAGCATGACGTGGAAGGCAACGTCATGCTGGCGCTGATCAATGATGTCACACCTGCAGAGGTGCAAACTCTCTGTGCCAGAGACCATGGATTCGTATGGATTCGCATGGATTGTATCCAGGATCGGGAAGAGGCTGTGGGCGCATACTATGCTGCCAACAACCTCATGAGTTTGACGCGACTAGCCAGATATTGAGTACCGACATGTGACTGCGATCAGATGGTTGAGGGTGACTGCCATCCGACATGTTGACAGCGCTAGCCCAGGATGACGGGAATCCCGGTGCTTCTCGTTCTGATCCTTCGGGTGCGCAAGGGATCTGCATGATGTGTTCTATGCTGAGCCTGTAAGGTGGTGCCCAATGTCCCGACCATTTTCCTGATTGCTCAGGCAGACTTTAAAGGGAGTGCTTTGAACTTGGTGTGTGATTTGCAACCACCTGCTGGGGGGAATCATGAATGCATCATGTAACTTGTCCTTGTAGCTTTTCACTGTTCAGGCGTAGAGAACGTTGGACTGAACCAACAGTCAGCTGATTACCCAATGATTTGCACCACAAAGCCAACGACAGCGTACTGCTCGAGTCTCGAGATGTTTGCACATAATGGATGATCAAGAGGGCATAGGGTTGGCCAGGTGGTGTTGAGCGGCCTGTGCCTGCTGCTGCTCTCTTCAGTAAGGCGCCTTAACTTACGGGTCGCCAGATCGAGCGTTAGTGCAGCCAGTTGGGTCCAACTATGCCACTATGCTTCGCCCCGCCGTTGATGCAGGATAAAGAGCAACGAACGGCCTGAGCAGGAGGAGCTGTTCTGAGGGAGAGTCTTGAGCAGTGGCTTGTGTGCTGTCAGGATGGTAGCAGTGACAGCGAAAGCGGGTTGGTGAAGTCACAGAGGCTGGCCTACAAGCCCGGCTGATTTTTGAGAGGAGGCCATCCCCCATGCGACTTTGTGTCACAATAGGGGCACACGAACAGGCACCCGCATACGCAGACGCACGCACTCGCAAGCATGTGCACACACACACACACATACGCCCACGCCCACGCAGACCGCGGATCTCATAAGCACAGGTTCACACGCTTGTGCACCCGCACCTGCACGGGGCACGAATGCCCGCCGGCCGGCCGCCCACACGCACGCAGGTCTGCCCGCTTGCTCCCGTCCAGACACGCAGTCACACACACACACACACACTTGCACACCCATGTTGGCTCGTGTCCTGTTTCGCAGACTTGACAGCATGGTAAAGTCATAGTGTACCAAGTGGCTGTCCAGGCTGTGTTGCAAGCCCTCTGCTGCCAGAGAGGCGGGGCGCAAGCAGTTTGAGCTCAGGACTGCAAGTGACACGCTGTCAGCAACATGTGCGTGACAGGTACCTCAGAGCGGAAGCTGCGTGAGCGCCATGAGCAGGGGGCCACAGTCACTTCAGGCCGGCGCTTGTGCCACCCGCAACGACGCGGCAATTCATTGCTTTCGATTTTTTGGCTTGCCAAGGTCACCGAATGCGGAGAATAGCAAGGCAGGATGGGAGGTTTGTCGCTCCGAATATGAATCCCAAGCAAAACGTATTGTGTGCACATAGTTTGCACATGTCCCATAGCTGCCAGAGCTGTTGTAACTTGGTGCAGCAACAGATGGCTCAATTGGACCTGGAAGTTTGCTTTGCGCAGGCAATTCATCATGCCTGTTCGCTTGGCCTGTGGGAACCGGCGTCTAAGACGCTTGTGGCTTGCTGCTTAATTGCCATTGAACTGCACTTCAGCTTTCCTGCACACACACACACACATTGTGATGCTTAAGTGGGCGCTAAGACTCTAAGATATTTCTGATTTTTTTCTTCTTGAAGGTGCTGTGGCTTCATGCTGATGTGCCATGGCTGCATCGTGATCTGATTCTAGAGTCGACTAAAAACGGAAAAAAACAACAGGGGTTGTGCGAACCGTGATTGGCAATGTTG